CTTACACAACCTAAAAAAAAAAATACATACTTAGCTAAACACTTGGCTTTCCAAAGCAAATGAAAATCTTGGGTATAAAGTTTACAGAGCAGAATGCATGAGTGAGTGTGAAGCACTGAAACAAAAAATGTGAGAACTGAGTGTGAAAAGAAAATTGACTATGACAGCTTTAATTGCTGTCATATTATAATTACTGATAAAGTGAATTTTTAGTTTTTAAATGGAGCATGTGGCATCTAAAGGGGAAAAAGTATTACCTGTGGAAATTATGGGCTTCTTGACTACTGTTAACTTATTTAGCATAGCAAATAAAAGCATTAGTTACCTAAGGTTTGGCTTTCATTTGCACTATAAATCACAAGTGAGAGATGCAAGTCTCTCCTCCTAAGCTATTTCATAGTCTCAGAAAGAACAATTTAAAAAAAAAAAGAACAAAAGATACTATTATACATTTGCTGGTAGTAATGACAACCAACATGCTTATCATAAATAACAAAGTTTCGCTTCATAGATCTAAGAACACAACCCAGACAAAAGTATAAAGGACAGCCAGTGTTGTAATTTGATTAGCCTTAGGGATTTACAAAGCAAGTTTCATCTTCAGTCTCAATTCGACATTTAAAAGAATGCTTAAAGCAGTTTGGTTTTGCAACTGCCGCTTTTAGAGTGTTTTTCCATGGAGATGTCTAGCCAGCTTCACACATTTTCTCAAGTACTAACAACTAGAAGACCAGGTTCTATAAATAATAATTTCTATAAGCTATACAGTTAAATCTCAAGAACAATTCTAGTCATAATTGGGATTTAGTTTTAGCTCTTCGTTGGAACGGAGACATCATTTCTCTCTCAACCAGCACAAACCCTAAACTACTTTTACTGAATACCACTTACTAATAACTAGTTTCCTATGAATATGGAAGAAGAGAAGAAAGAAAATCCACAGTGTCTTTTGTTTTGTATTCTTTTTAAGAAGGCTAGGGAAGTCAGGAAACTAGACAGGAAACATACAGGACTGATTACTGCTGCTTAAATATGTAATCTGGTAGACAGCATCACACACATTGTAACAGATAACATTCAGATCCAAATGCTCTCAAGTACAACATGCTCTAAAACTGATAAGTGTAATGTAAGCTTTTCATATAGCTTTACATATTCACTGGATTTCAAAAATAAAGGGCTTTTTGTTTGATTTATAGTCAAACTGTCCTTCTCAGTTTCTAGCAATCGCTTTTGATCTGACTTGGTTAGTTTCAACCAAACCTGGCAGAAAAAAAGTAGGTTTTGGTCACAGCTGTGTGCAGGGAAGGGGAAAAAGGGGCACTGCTACATAGTGCCCCATGGAGGAAAAAGCTTCAGTGACTGTTCAGTCACCAGTATGGCTGCCAGGTGGCCTGTCAATAGACCAGAAGCGATCCAAACCTTGTGCTGCCTCTTGCCCTGGCATCATTTAAAGAGCCTAGGATGGAACAGGGCTTACTGCTAAGTTCACTGGAAGAAGGGATGACAAAAGGAAATCAGGCATCATATTTCACTTTTCAAGAAACAACTTATGTTTTACTAACGTCCATACACAAGAAAAAAAAAAAAAGCTTTGTGTTTCTTTGACTTTACAAACAAAAAAAATTCAAAAACCGTTAAGCAAAAATTTACAATCACACAACACCTTCACTTGCTTCATTAGGTGGCTAAGATGGTGCCATTCAACGAATATGTTTAATATTTTTTTCTCATCTCGAAAGATGGATTAAGGTTTCATTTACTACACATTATTTAAATTTTACACTGAAGATGGCAAGTGTTGGTTTCCAATGAGCATCTATACATTGTTCATGGACACAGCATGAGTGCTTTCTCAAGAGTAATGACCCTATCCTCACAGCATCCTCACAACTGAAACCTCTGTTATTCCCATTTTACAAACTGAAAATAGAGGTGGCAGAGAGGTCACTGAACAATGACCATCAGTTTTGAGGCAGTTAAGGTCAGCTTTTTTCCAAATACTTCATACCGTATAGAGCTACTTGCATTTGAAACAGATCCCCGTAAGTTTGCTGAAAGCTATGAATGCTAGTCACTTTTGCACATCAAACTAGATATCCTGACACCATGAACACAGAGTTATAAACAGCTAGAGAGTTTATAACACCAACAGAGAGAACTGTGTTAAACTCATGTGAACGGCGTAACATGGTAGTACAGGGTTTCCCCAAATTTAATCCTATTTGAACCGATTTCCTAAAAAGGAAAAAAAGGGGGGAAAAAGCCTATTTAAAAATACTCAGTGACAAGAAGTTATTTGTTTAGTAATGCATTCCAATGATTAATCAGTCCAGTAAGAACACACCCCTTATTTGAAGTCTGAACTTGCTTAATTCAGCTTCCAACCACAGAACTGTGGTATACCTTTATCAGCTGAAGAGAAGGTTGCTTTTATCAAATACCTCTTCCTCAAGTAGGTAGATATTGACTAATGAAGAAACCCTTAACATTTCCTTAGCTAAGCTAAACAAAGTAAGCACCTTAGGTCTTAATTACTAAGACTGCTCTCCCTTTCTCCCCGTCATTTTCAAGGCTATTCTCTGGAAGCTGATTTTTCACCTTCCTCGCTGGACTGCTAACAGCAGATGTACTGCTCCAGTAAGAGTTATAGCTAAATAGAGAATACACAACCTCCTTATTTCCGATTCCCTTGCTCAACTGCTCAAAGCTTTTCACCAGACCTTTTAGTTACAGCCAAAAGGACTGACTTCAAGTTCAACTCCTATCAGTCATCAACTCCACATCTTTTTCAGAGTCTCAGACTGAGTCCCCCTACTTGTTACCCAACTCAGTATTTAGTTGCACTGATTCTGCCATGAAATGTGTTACATAGTTTCATGTGTCCAATTTATTAGTGATTTAAATCACTTTGCAACCTTAATAACGGTCTTTTAGTTTCAAATTTATATTTATGATTTTCTAGGTAAATAAAAACACCTGAAATAATTCCAACACAGTTATTTACAATGAGAAGCTTGGATACTCTGTAACCTCAAGTAGCAGAGGTTAATGCAATGTATGCAACAGCAGACTTATCTCTAGTATGCACCAAGACTTGCAGATGCATAACACACTCTGATGTTGGATTTTGCATGTTACTTATGCACAGTCTTGCCTAGGGGTCCATGTTTGTGAGAACCCAAATCTCTAGCCAAGGCCCTCCTAGAATTCTTAACTAATGGGAGTTACTACAGTTTATTTTGTAACATAAAATTTAACAAATCTTTAAAATACTCCAGAACCAACCCACAAGCAACGTGTGTTAAAGATGACAATAAATGAAAATACAGTTGGATTTCCATTGAATAAATTGATAAACCTAATCAATAGGTGCTTTAAAAATATACAAGCTTTCAATCTGTGTATTTACAGGTAATTACACGGATCTTACCTATTTAAAAGGTAAGATATCTCATGGACCAATTCAAAAAGACAGAGCTGTGACCAGAGCACAAGTTCCTGCCCAAAATCCCAGAACTCCTCACCAAAGTGTTCACAGTGAGGAACAAGGGCAGACCAGCACACCAGGTATCCCAAATGCCTCAAAGTAAACACGTTAGCTTTAACGTAATGGAAACCTTTAAATGTTCAAGCTTTATTTTCTTCTTACGTAGGATGAATTAGGATCACAATCTTAGGCTACTTCATATTGTCCAACTCTAAGACTTTTGTGAATATCAACAACATCTCTCTGACTGTAAGCAGGGCAGCAGCCTGAACTGTCAGAGGCTCCAATCCAGCTCAGCTTCACCATTTTAGTGAAGGTGGAGGGGGGAGCAGGGGGTGTCTAAAGGAGAAGAAAATAGAGAAATAGAGAAAAACAGTATCTTCCCATAAAATTTCTCCCCTTTTTCAAAGGACTGCATAATATTTTGACAAAATATGAGAGCGTACATACTTACACACAATTCTTTCCTGGCTTTTTAAAGCACTATAAACATTATTGGGTGCACTAACTAGGACGCTATCTTTTGTACCTGAACTTTAAAGGCACTTACGCAGGGTTTAATCTTCTCCATCAAAAGTCTTTAGAAATTACACGGCAGAAAGAAATCTATTCTTCTTAAGTTAAGTCAGCCAGTTTCACACCTCTGATGGGTATATTTCTGGTATGATAGTTGCTGTGACCTCAGGAGCGTCAGAGGGAAAAGGCCTCACCAGTCTTACTCAAGTTCTTGCCACAGTTTCTCTCTTACACCGGAGTGATGAGTAGGTTACCCATACTAGGAAATACTTTCAAGAGTTGAGTCTCAATGACATCTTTTGAGTTGATACGATCCTCCATGGATCATATAATGAAGGAACACACACACACACACATTTATGCAGGTTACATCTTCTAAAGCACTTTTCAATCAATTCCACCCAGTCCCTGCACTGAGCGTCCACGTCTTCCTTTGTATTTCATGGGCAAGTCCACAGACAAGGATTTGCTGAGCTGTTACCTTCCTTTCTGCATTAATTAGCATACGTTATCAGTCACAAAAAGAATTTATGCTGCTCCAGAGCATAAAGCCTTTTGAGATTCTATAAACTTAAGTAGAAAGGACAGAGGCAGGAAAAGATCTTCACCTAGTCAGAGTATGCACTAGTTAGTGTAAGCATTGCATTAGAAGGGAACCATAAGGATAAGCAATATTTAATGGCAGCAAAATAAAATACAAGATTTAAGAAAAAAAAATAGAAAACAAAGCACTGAAATGCAGCTGGAGAATCTTGTAAACCCTTATCTGAAGTCCTAAATAAATTAAAAAATTAAAAAAAAAAAAACAGTAACAAAAACCACCAAGCAGAACAGTTACCGTTCCCGCATTCCCCAATTATTTTCCAACTGGTACCTGCTTGAAGATTCCTGCTAGAAGCTTTTCTGGTTTTCATCTTCCTGTCATTTTCATTCTTCTCAGATTTTATTACCTGATACTGTAAGGCAAAAACTTAAGAAAGGAGGAAGAACTTACTGGTATTGAGAACTCCTCTGCCAAATACTTCAACACTGATGCTCCTCTAGCCAAAAAATTACTTCTCTCTGCCAGGTTGCCTTGGAGTTTTGTATCAAACTCCTTTCTGACAACTGAAGCCACAGAGTCAATTACTATGAGTTTAACTTTCTTTGAAATAATTTCTTCTTCCAAAGACATAATCCTAAAAAAGAAAAAACAAAAAAAAAACCGTCATTGATAACATTATTTACACAATTTTATAACCCTGAAATTGTTTAAATAAAAGGTTTACTCTAATAAGCTGAAAGCCAACCCCTCTTTTTCCCCCCTCACACACCGCCTCCACTAACATCTGCACGTACTGAAGAGATTTGGAAAGGAATCTGAGGCTCCAGTGGGCCATATAACCGAAGGCAGGACCTCTCCAAAAGAGAGGTTTGAAGAACCTCTAGTTAGCAACACTATGCTGTACAACCCCTGAATGGCAGACAGCAAGTTAACTGGACATTGAAACTGTGCCTTTTTGCTCACAGTAGCAGCGTCCCATTGCCAACATCAGAATCGTTGGTGTCTATATATGCAGAAGGTCAAATCCATTTCCGTATACCTCCAAAGACAGTATACCAAACCTAATTCATTGATAATATGCTACTAGCTATTCTCTGATAAAGCTGCACTAGAAGACAAAACTATTCTTAGAATAATTCTCCCACTAACATAAAATACACAAGATGATGCTAAAATAGAACTTAATTTTCATTGCAAAACATCTTCAAAAATTAACATAAGATAACAACATAACAATACAACACTGCCAACAACAGCATTCAGGCTGATGACTGTTAAATGATTCCTCCCTCCCACTGCTGGAGGGGGCCCAGTCTTCCTGGAAGTAAACTGTGCTTTGGAGGAGCAAACTCCTATTTCATGGAAAACGTAACTCTTATGCTATGGTCTCTCCACAATCCAAGACAAGATAAGACCTGTCACATGAACACTCCCCTTTAAAGGCTTACAGGGATCAGATCAGATAGAAATTGTCTATCAGAAATTAGAAAACATCAACTGGCTTAGTCACATACTATGAAATGAGAACAGCAATGTCAGTCTTTCTGTAGTAGTTTTACTTTGTTGGAGACCATGCTGTTATCAACATGAAAAGGCCTCAAATAAATGAGTTACTCTTCATAAAACTTTGATGTAAACAAAATGAACTTACAGACAATCCAGTCAAAATGTTCTTTTTTTTTTGAACTCTGGAGAAGAATACCTCTTCAGTACACTGCCACAGGTCAGCTCTCGATACAGGTGAATGCTACGGGTCATGCAGGACAGCTTTTCATCTGAGTCAAAATAAGCGGGGAATCTGTTTCCTGCTATCTCAATCAACCTATCAAAAAACCAGAAGGCATAACACTGCAAAAGGAATAATGTGGGATAATAAGGCATCAAGTATTCACAAAGCAAACAAAGCAAACCTCTGAATGATAAGCAGATACCAAGTAATACTTTCAATCTTAAAGAAGAAGCATCCTTTAGCAGTCAGACTGAAATACTGGAGGTCAGAACAGTTATATTCTCTTCCCAGTGATGCTAGATAAGACATAATGTGTCTGTACGCAAAGAAACAGCATATCTCCTGTAGAAGGAAACTGCAATGAAATCATAAAGTGGACCTTGTGTCACCACAGAAATTTAACAAGCTGATAACAAACAGAAGATCCGTTACAAGACCCAGCCAACATGGAAGCAGGACTGCAAAGAACAGAGTCCAGTTCGACTGCAAGTACTTATACAAGTACTTATGCAAGTACTTTCCATACATGTATGGAAAGTATACCTGCCAAAGCGAAAATCTTTTCACAGATAATCTCTCCTTAAAAACAAGAACAAGGTCATTTGGATGGGAGACTTTTTCAGTGAAACCATTTCCACTGCACCAGTTACCTCTTTGTAAAAAGAGCTTACAAAATCTTAAGAAAGTATACTTTTTAGAACATAGCAAAAAAAAAAAAATCAGCACTGTGTCACAAAGTGACTGAGGCTCCAGCTGCCAGGCAGCTACAACGAAACATCCATCCATTCAGATAGCACAGGTACAACTGGCATGGCTTGATATAATGAAATGACTAAACAGTTTAAGTGGCCACTTCACTGATAGAACTGAATGTGGGATTCCGTGATTAAATGTTCTCCATTACCTCATTAGCAAATCCATGATCCTTCAAAACCTTGAATTACAATTGTTAAGCATACTACTGTTTATTATCAGAGTAGACTAAGGAAGCGTATCAGATAACTGATGATAACACCAAAAGAAGTCAGAGGAAGTTGGACATTTATTATTTGTTGTCAAAATACTTTTATATTCAGAAACTACGCTTTGAAAAAACCTTTTGCACAGGTGTAAAACTAAACAATTTACTGATGAGAGGCCAACATTCTCAGTTAAATGAGATTTTATAAAATCACTGAAGACACTAAAAGGTATACGTTTTAGAAATGCTGACTGCCTGCAAACTCTTCAGAAGTCAGTGGAAAGAAGTTCCACCCCTCTGAACACAAGGCAATTTTATCTAGGTCCTTAAATAAACGATCCAAGAATTTAACTTAGAAACTCATAGTTACAATCTGAGCACTGTAAATTTTTTTCCACAATGAAGATTTTATTTTTCAATAACAGAAAATACCTAATCGTTTGTATTTTACACAGAAATATCCTACCACCTATAGCTTGGGAAGAGTGGCATCTAGTGGATGATACCTGTGGGCACAACTTATTGGTTATCTTGCTTTTTATTTAGGCCCCTTTCATTAAAACCCAAAATGTTAAAGCTATTTTAGAAAAATTCTTTTAAATCAGTTTTATTTGGTTTAAAAATAGAAACACTAAGCTTGAATGTTAATATACCTATCCTGAGCAAGCAATTTCATTACAAAATCCTGAATCTCATTCATTAGATACATTACTTATTACATCTAAACTTGTCCTGCAGAACTTCCAGGGACAGAATCTTGTCTTACCATTTAATGCACAATTAATCATGCAGACCATTTGGGCAACGGAGATTTGTCATTCAATGGTCTGCATGAAATGAGATTTTGGTATGCTTCCTAATGGACATGCATATCGCAAAGAACATCATTACACAGACTGACTTAAAATGACACGCCAAAATCTTGCTGAGATAGCAGTACTATTCACAGAGCCCCATGCAGGTTCAAAGCTCTTTAAGATCTAAATCCTGTTTGTCATAATGAGACCAAAAACTGCACAGAACATCTTCTCTGCAATCAGGGCAGAGGCCCATGGGGTGGAAAACCCGTTTGTTCTCAGCTTTGGTTCACAGAAATTTGTATCTAGTGTTTTTCACAAGTAATAAGTATGGCTGGAGAGAAAAGCAAATCAAACAAATTATTTTCAGCCTTTCTAAATAAGTCTGGTATGTTTTCAGTTAATAGCTGCCTAGAGTTGAATTGAACTGCTACAGAACTGATGACAACAATTTTGATTTCCAGACTTACTATGGCCATTCCAGCTACCTGTCCTAGTGTCCGTGTTCTGACAAAGCTGAATGATGGACATCATCTGCACTGTTACAGCTTTCTCTTACATGAGAGAAAAATATATAAATTGCAGAAACCGGTGGCATATCTTAGAAGACTAGCCTCAATTCTGATCACTGTTCTCAGCATTGCTATTAGATTGAACTAAACTGTCATGTTAGAGAATAAGTAATAAGACTATGAAAGTTTGTGGAAGCAAAAAGCTCCCTGCCCTGAAGTAAGACGTGCCAGGCAGAATGACAAAAGAGAAGTGCCTTTCAGCAAAAGAAATAGAGTTAGCCAGCTTTATGCAGTATCTTTCTAGAAGCAGCACAGCATTACAGCCAGTATGACAGCTACAAGTTAGCAACTCTCAGCCCTAAAAAGCAGCAGGGATACAAACACTCTTCTCAGGCTTTCTGTAGAGACTTTTGAGTTTTAAATAAAAATAGTACCAGCTAAATGTCTCCATTAACCCCTTTAAAAGAAGTTGCTATTAAATGAAATTTTTCCTCTTATCTGAAGTGTTTAGAACAAGAACAAAAACAAAATCTCTTCTACTTGCCATCTATTAATAATACAGGATTACAGTATCATAAGAAAATTCAGGTTAGAAAAAGAACTCAGGAGATCTCCAGGCCAACACCGTGTTCAAAGTAATGCCAGCTATGAAATCAGAAGAAGATACTTGAGGCTTTATCTAGTCGTATTTTGGAAGCCTCCAAGAATGGAGGCAGCATAACCTCTCTGGGCAACCTTTTCCAATTCCTGACTGTCCTTATGGTGAAAAAGCTTCTCCATATATCAGCACAGAAATGGATTTCTGTGTATGCCTGCTGTCTCACT